AGGTGTCTGCAGGGGGCCGGTGGGTCCTGCGTGCCAGGGGAGGGAGGCACCTGCAGGGGGCCGGTGGAGGGGCGGGTTAGGCTGTACTGGCATGGGCACCCCTGCCCTATGGTGCACATGGTCCAGCTGGGGCGACTGGCACCCCTCCCCAGAGGCTATCCCAGAGCGACAGCCACTGCTGCTTCCCTCACCCCCTCCCAGCACTTTCATCACCTCGGCGATGTGCCTAGGCTGTGCCCACGCTCCCTGTTCGACTCGATTCCGGTGCTGTGGGCACACAGGGCCAGGCATGTTGCCGGGGTGGATGCTTGGGGCTGTATCCGCCCCTAGGGCAGGGGCTAGGGCTCTCAGCCCAGGCCGTTTCAGCTTGGTCTATACCTGACCCATGGAAGGGGGCTGTGGGCTGATACAGGGAGGCCGTCCCCTGGTGCCCTAGGGCAGGGACAGCTGGAGGGTGGGCTGTGTGGGAGAGACCCCAGCATCCCCACAGGGGCCCAGCCGCTGACAGTGCCGCTTTGTCCTCACGCAGGAAGTAGCTACGGGCTCCCGGTCGCGTGGATGGACTCCACCGAGGAGGAGCGGCAGGTCTGGCAGAGCCTGCTGGCGGAGCCCCGCCAGTGGGTAGAAGCGCTGCTGCCCCTGCGGACGAACCTCACCCCCCGGACTTAGCCCCTCGCGCCGGTGCTGGCTCTGAACGCCTGCCCCGGCCCCTGCTTCAGGGGGACTGGGAGCCCAGCTGGGAATGGCTGGGCCTGGACATATTGGCTACAGTGGAACCGAGCTGCCAGGGCTTTCCTTGTGTGACTGTACAGAAAATAAACCCCGCTGCAGCCACGCGGGCCTGGGCGAGCCGCCGGGCTGCGGGAGATCTGTGCTCACCTGGCTGGTGCTTTCGGCTGCTGCGGGCGTGAGCAGGCCGGGATGGGCTCACTGCCACCTTCTGCCCTCCCCCCGCCCCCAGTGCAGGGCAAGAGGGGGGTCGGGGGCTGCTGGCGGGTGGGGGAGCAGGATTCAGACAGCCCGAGGGGGGCGCTGCCTCCTTGGGGACGGAGGAGGATGCCAGCCTGGGCTGAGGTGGGACAGGGCTCCAAGAAGCTGCCGGGCCCACAGCTTGCCCCGCCGCCACCCAGGCTGGGAGGAACCTGGCTTCATTTTCCCTTTGCAGACAGGTGCTGCCCCCTCCCCCCATTCTGCCCAAATGAGGAGGGAGCCGGGGGCACAGCTGGGAGGCTGTTTATTGCTGGAGTTTACAGTCACGGTGGGGGGGCGGCCGAGGCCCCTGCGGTCCCCTTAGTTTCACCAGCAAAGCCCCACTGTCCTGCTGAAGCAGCCTCCTCTCTCTCCTGCCAAGGCAGCAGCGTGGGCACCTCCTTCGCCAGCCAGCGCTGGGCGCGATGGGCAGGGCGGCAGCCGTCCCTCAGCAAATGGCCCTGCTCTCCCGCTTGCTACGAGACGCAGGCCCAGGGTCAAGCAGGGCAGTGGGCGTGAGGCTGCTGCTCTGGGCCATGGTGCCTAGCAGAGCCACCTGCCAGCTCAAGGGCAGAGGCGGCGTGGCTGGTTGGCAGGGCGTGAAGGCGGCGAGGCGGCGGTCAGCTCTGGCTGAGCGCGGGCGCTCGTTACGGCACGGGGAGGCCGATGCCGCAGGGGAGGCTGCGGCTGCCCCGTCTCTCACTCGGCTTCCCGCTGCGCCTGCTTGGCGAGGGATTTCCGGTGCTCCTGGATGGCTCCCCATAGCCTGCACACCAGCCCCCCTCTGGCAGGGAGAGACGGAGACGGGTGAGACACGCCCCTGCCCCCTGCCCCCCTTGGCACCGGCTGCAAACAGCCTCAATGCCTCGCCCTCTGGCTGGCGCCCAGGGGACGGGACGGGGGCCACACAGGGGGATGGTCTCCGTGGGCCTCACGCCCCACTCAGGGCAGGGTCTTTCCCAGGCAGAGTTGCAGTGAAACGCTCCCAGGGCAGAGTCTGCTCAGGCTGCCAGGACGGATTCATGGTTCACCAAAGCAACTCGCTCCACCGACCCCCAGCCATTGTGGCTGGGCTGGGAGGGACAAGCCCTAGGCGTGGCCTCTTGGCCCAGCCAGCAGTGACCCTCTGGGGAAGAGGGCTGGGGCACCCGTCCTGGCTCCCCCTCCTACCTGATGCCGGTGTAGAGCAGGTCGTCGCGGGTGGCGCAGGTCAGCAGGTCGGGCAGGGTGAAGCCGTGCTGCAGGAACTGGGGGAGAAAGCAGGTAGCGGAGCTGGTCAGCGAGGGGCGCTGCAGCCAGAGCTGGGATGGGGCCACCCCACTGGCTCCATGGGGAAGGGAGTGCTGGAGGGCAGGGCGTGTGGGAGGGACGCCCCAGACCCAGCTGCCTTATGCCCAGGCACCCGGCCCCCACCCCACCAGGGCCTGGGGGAAAGGGAGCAGGAGGTGTCCCGCTGGAGCCTGCCTCTCCCTCTCCCTGCTAAGGCCGGGGTCGTGGCGGGGCCCAGGGCTGTCCCCAAGCCGCTGGCCCCTCGGCCTGGCTCGCACAGCGCAGGGGACGTACCGTCGTGGTCGCATCCTCATCCGCTCCGTGGCTCTGTAACCAGTCAACGAGGAGGGCGTCCACCGCCCCCTGCCAGGGCCCCCGGGGGTGCGCGGCCAAGGCTGTGCAGACAGAAGGGTTCGGACCCGGGTCAGCCTCCCCCGGACTCTGCGGCTCAGCCTCCCCCATGTCTTTAGGCTTCAGATGTGTGGCCCGGGGGAGACAAACCCAGCCCCTCGCCGCCCCAGAGACATGGGCCCCAACGTGGGGCTCGGAAGGAGACCCAGCCCCTGCCCCGATGTGGTCAGCTAGGGGGAGACCAAGGTGTGTTCCACCCTGCCATGCCCATCTCCCATTGCTTCCCCTCCCCCACTGCGCCCAGCAGCCCCACAGAGCTCCCCCAGCCCAGCTCCGGCGAGTCCTGGCATCGCTCACCTAGGGGCTTGGATCCCTGCAGAGCCCTGGCCTCCTGCTCCGCGGCCTGGAGCACCCTCCGCAGCTGCCTCTGCCACTCTCGCTCCTTCTCCAGCAACGCCTCCAGCAGCCTGCCACGCACGCCGGGGGGACAAGGCAGAGGGGCTGGAATCGAGGGCCACGCTGTGTGTGTGTGTGGGGGGCGATGGGGGGAGGGCGATTGCTACTGTACTCCCCCGTCCTCCACCCCGCCCAGCCTAGGCACGTCAGAGCCACAGCTGGGAGCCCAGCCCAAGTGTGGATCCTAATGCCCTTGGACTGGGAGAGTGGCACCGCCCTGGTGTGTGGATCCAGGCCAGGAGGGCGGCTGTGGGGTGCTGCCCCCTCCGGCGGGCAGAGGCTGGCACAGACCATGCCTCCCGACGCTTTGGGCCCAACAGCTGGCTGCGGGCCAGGCTCCCCTCCACGCGGGAGAGCAGCCGGGCGCTCCTACCTGCCCGTCTCCGCGCGGAGGTGGCTGAGCTGCAGCAGGAGTGGCAGGGAGTCCGCCGGGGCAGTACGGAAGCCCAGCTCGGTGCTGGTGCCGCTGCCAACGCCAGAACTTGGGGTCTCCACGCTGCCCCTCCCCCCGCTGGGCTGGCTCGGGGGAGGAGGCGCTCCCTGCGCCTCTGGATCTTCCTCCACCTCCTCTTCGCTGCCACCTTTGCCCAGGAGATGCGGCGGCTTCACCCGGAGTTCTGGAAGCGCGGGAGAAAGAAGGGGAGCGGGGAGGTGGCTGGCCTGGGCTAGGGACGGTGGGCCGTGAGCCCTAGGGATGCCTCTGGGCAGTGGGAGCCGAAGGGTCAGGGCAGCCCCACAGCTCCATGGGCATCGGGCAGGGGTGGGAGCAGCAGTGGGACTAGCGGTAGCATCTGGCTGTCTCTGTTCTCCCACGACTCTATGCCCAGGCAGGCGCCCCGTGCTTCCTGGTGGGAAATCTCCCTGCCCAACGGCCTCGGGCACAGAACTCCATGGGCAGGGCCCAGGGGTTCTGCCAGCTGATAGGGGGGAGAGAGCTGGGTCTCAAGGCCCTGGCCGGGGGCCTCCTGCTGCCGTTTCTATATACAGTCCCAATATGGAAAGTTACCTTAGCAGCACCCCAGAGCACTCCGATGGGACCCCCGCCCCAGCCGCAAACCCACTGCCGCTCCGCTAGGGACCCAGCTGCCGCCTGGCCGGGCCCCGATTCCCCATGGGGCTGGATCCAAACGGAACAGGAGCCAGGGCCACCACACAGCTCCCCCCACCCGCCCGCCAACGCACCTGTCACGAGGATAGTGAAAGCTGCCTGCACGGCCTGGCCCATGAGGTTATCCAGGGCGAACATCCAGTGCGGCTTGATCTGGTGCTGCCGTAGGAGCTGCTTCACCTGCAGGGATGGGAGAGGATGGGCTGCGCCGGCACTGGAGCCAGCCGGAAACCTTGCCACGCCGAGCCCACCGCAGGCCCCGAGGGGCGACCCCCCAGCTCCCTCTGGGGTCCCCACCGGGCCTGGGATTACAGAAGCCCCGCCCCCTTTGTTCATTGGCCACACCCACCATGCTCCTGTGACTGCCTAGGTGAGGCCAGCAATGAAGGCGTTAAAGGCAGTGGGTGCTCGATACTTGGGGCAATTGAGTTTTAAAGGTCCCGGGCCAGGTGTGGAGGGAGAAGTGGCCCGGCCCGGCCCAGCAGCCTCCTGGGAAGGGCTGAGTACTCACCGTGTCCTGGAAGCTGAAGAGTGGCACCTGCACGTGGCGAAGGCTTAGGCCCTCCGCCTGCAGCGGGGCCTGGAGCCCCAGCAGGTCCTGGCTGAGCTGCCGGCGGCTGGGGGAGCGGATGTAGCTCTTGAGGCAGGACACCAGCTGGGCGATGTGCTCCGAGGACAGCCTCCCTCCGTCCCAGCTCTGAACGGGGAAGGGAAAGGCTCAGCCTGGGGGCGCGAGCGCAGATGGGCTCCCACGCAAGGCTGGGCTGGCAGCGGGAGGGGTCTCAGACGCACCCCGAGCCAGAGCGAGTGAGTGGATGGAAGTCGTACCTGACGGGCTCCAGGAAAAGGACAAAGGCCATAAAGCGACTGCAGACCCCCCGCCCTCCCCCCGGAGCCAGGCTGAATGAGCAGCCCCCAGCCTGGCGCGGGGAGTTTAGCCCCTGACCTGCCGCAGAGGGGTCGGAGCCGCGTGCTGTCTGCCTCGTGCAGGGGAGGGGTTGGGCCTGGCTGCCGAGCCTTCAAGGGGCCGGCACTGACCTGGCTCTGGGCCTCCTCCAAGGCGGCCACAATGCTGGGCTGCTCCTCCGTCAGGATCTGGTGCAGGGTGGCCCTGCGCTCGCTGTCTTTCTTCAGCAGGAACATGCCGCCGCTCTCCTCGGGGGCGGGGGAGCTGCTGCAATCCAAACCAGCTGGCTCCTCGGCAGCCCTGGGGAGACGGGAGTTGGGGGGGGGTGTGGCAGGGACATGCAGTGAAGCCTGGGCACTGCAGGGGGGCAGACCTGTGCTAAAGAGAGGATCCAGGACTGCAGCTGACCCACTGTGGAGCCTGGGATGGGAACGACGCCTCCCTTACAGGGCTGCCTGGGGCACCCGGCTCTGCTGCCCGTCTAGCCCTCTGGGATATGCACCTCCGGACACTCAGAGCGCTGGGGCTCGCAGCGAAAGGGGAGGGTTGGAAGAGGGGAGACACGAGCAGCCCAGTCAGTCCCCACACACCCGCCCCGGGCAGCCAAGCTGTTCCGGGGGGGCAGCAGGAATTCACATGCTCCAGGGGGAGCCACCCCACAGCACTGCAGGCCCTTCGGGCTGGTGGGACAGGGAGACTTGGGGCATCCATCCCTGTGCACTGCAGATCCCCCTCCTGGGGAGTGAGGGACACCCAGGCCAGCGTGGGGGACACTGAATCGTGGGGGACAGCTGGGGGGGGGTCTGTCATCCGATCCG